ACACCTTCCAGATGCAGGGTTTACAATGGGTACAGCCTCCAACAGTCTACAATGGGTATAGCCTCCACAGCATGTGATGAGTTCTGGGAACAGCCTTCGAGAGAAGATTGTACACGTTCCAGATGCAGGGTCGGGTCTATGATGGGTACAGCCTCGAAGAGTCTAAGATGGTACGGCCTTTAGAGTTTTTGGGAGTTAAGCCTCTAGTGTTTAATGGGAACATCCTCCAGAGTCTACAATGGGTACAACATCCATAATCTAAGATTGATACAGCCTACCTAGTCTAAGTTGATACATCTTCTAGTCTAAGATGTCAAGAATCACCATTTTGTCAAATATAACACAAATCTGTGATTAGTAAATGGGTCAGGAAATGCTGAGTCTATGATGGGTGTAGTCTCTAAGGGCCTAAGATGGTACAGCCTTTAGAGTTTTTGGGAGTTAAGCCTCTAGTGTTTAATGGGAAATTCCTCCAGAGTCTACAATGGGTACAACATCCATAATCTAAGATTGATACAGCCTACCTAGTCTAAGTTGATACATCTTCTAGTCTAAGATGTCAAGAATCACCATTTTGTCAAATATAACACAAATCTGTGATTAGTAAATGGGTCAGGAAATGCTTAGACAGATGGGCGGACAGACGGCAAAAAGAGCAGTATTTCAACAAACAGCATTATCAGTTGTGTTACCATACCAAACCCATATCAATATTATCCAAACTTGTATTTGTTAAAAAAGATCATACACTAAAACAGTTCTTATGGATGAATGTAAACAATTTGTTAAGGAATAAGGATTGCCTGAAATGACCTCTACCCACGATTTACATACATTATGTTGTGTTACTATGGCAACAAATTGACAAAAGATGTTTAGACTCACCATACCAGATAATAACATATGTATTCATGACCCTTGTAAATATGATTCTGTCAACATTAAATTATTTGAAATTGTAATAAAAAGTGCCACGCCCATTTTGTGGTAAATTGAGCAGTAGTTATCATACATGAGTATGTCATCCTATTCATCTATTTATCATGGTATCTCCTTCAATATGTATTAAGCTCAACTTTGTGTTCATTTTGAAAAAATCAAAAATGACAACCTACCATCTGTTTGTAGGGAAACAGTAGATTCATCCTTAATATTTACAATATTTTGCAATTAAATTATGTTGCCATGGTAACCAATTGATCAATCAAGATCAAACTTTTCATGACAACTAACTATATATGGATGCATAATCCCTAAAATTTTGAATGTGATTGGAGGCACCCAACAGAAAATATAAATGCTTATCATAGTACCCCCTCATAAAATAAGACCAGGGGTGCATATATTGATTTTTACATGTTTTCCGCTACTTAGATTTTTCTAGATTTTCAATATGTCTTTAAACTCATCAATATTCATTTGTTGCACTAGGTTTGACTAACATAGAACGTTTTTTCTTGGCAAAAAATATTCACTATACAAACATGACAAAGGTTTCACTGCTTACCTTGTTGTTGTACTCATGACCAGCTAGCAACAATACTTTTAGGGCTTTTTAGCAAGTCAAGAAGTCTATTATCCTCCTTCCAATATCTTTAATTCGCCAATCATTTTTACAAACAATACCACATGCGAGAAGAATAACTTCGTGATACATTTAGTTCAATTCATCAACTAAAACTACAATGGGCAATTCACACATAGCTACTGTAGGCAAGGTGTGTCCGATTCCAGCCAATCCGAACAGAGTATTGTCGCGCGCCAGACTCCCGCCGAGTACCCGTACTCCCTCGGAGAAGGTCTGGTGGCGATGATAAGGGATTCGGAGGTGTTTATCACGGGCGCCGAGCTGGTTTGGTGCTTCAGCTGTCACTGAGCTAGGAGATGGAAAACACAATGTAAAAAACAATCAATTACGGGATTTTAACAATCTATTCAACACTATAATTACTATAACAATCAATTTCAAAATGTCCTCAAATGCCTTTATGGCCAGTAATACAATAATGTCTCTATATATAAGCATGAGTCGAAAAACACTCTGGCTCTGAGTTCGTCTGTCTCTACTCTACTCTGCCATACTCTGCTCTCTGCTCTGCTTGTCTGCTCTGCTCTCTGATATACTCGACTCTGCCCTCTGCTATGCTCTGCTCTCTGCAATACTCTGCTTGTCTACTCTGCTCTGCTCTGCTTGAAAAGAGCTCTCCCTCTTGAGCTATCTCGTCTTTGGGAAGGAGCCCTGGCTCCGGAAGTAACCTCTGCTTCGGGAGTCGCCTTGTCACGGGAGTAACCACCCTTAAACTCTCCTCAAAAGAGTGCTTTCACTCTTTGAGCTACACTGTCTCTTGGAAGGGGTTCAGGCTCCGAGAGTAACCTCTGCTCTTGGAGTCACCACTTCTCAGGATATACCTCTCTACAGCCTCTGCTCAATTCACTCTTGAGCTACACTGTCTCTTGGAAGGGGTCCAGGCTCCTGGAGTATCCTCTGCTCTCCAACGAGATCCACACACTGGGAGTACCTCAGCCCCGGGAATCGCCTCGTCTCAGGAGTAACCTCTGCTCTTGAACGAGATCCACACACTGCTAGTACCTCAGCCCCGGGAATCGCCTCGTCTCAGGAGTAACTTCTACTCAAAGAGTGCTCTCACTCAATGAGCTACACTGTCTCCAAAGAGTAACCTCTGCTCTCGGTGTCACCGCAGGAGCAACCTCACTACAACCTCTGTAGAGAATAACAACTCTAGAATGTCGATCAAAGGATGAGATTAGACAGAGCTGTTATCTCTCGCCTTGGAGCACCTCAGTTCCGGTAATGTAACTCTGGCTCCGATGAGAGTAAACCTTCCTCAACATACAACCCTGGGTGAGAGTCAGATCGCCTCGACAAAGTAGGAGCATTTATAGCTTGGAGGGGTAATGACTAGGAGCCACCAATACTCAGAGCAGAATGACTCACGAATATCGATCAAAGAAATGAGATTAGACAGAGCCAAATCTACTCAGAGAATCTGGAGCTCAAAACTTATCAAAATGACGTCACTTCCTTCAAAATCAAAGATGGCCGACCGCCGGGAATTGTGGGAACAAGAAAGCAAGATGGCGGACAGCTAATTACCCATTTTATGCCAACCTCAATCAAGAAAATGGCTAACTCACCAAAAACACTGGCTGTGGTCTTGTATTTTCTTCAATAGTCGCACCAAATACAATCTGCATCTAACGATTACTGCAACTAATCCAATATATCCAAAATAATGCTCCAATAAGTCCACAGATTAAATAAAACACACTTGCACATAAATAAATCCAAACTGACGAGGTCTTGTATCTTCAAGATCTTAGTTTACTCTCTGATTCACGTGGTTAATTGCAAACAATAAAATACAGACACCTCAAGTTGCATCATGGGAAAACTACAACTTAAGTTGGAGGGAAATTCAAATAAAAGAATCTGATTGGCTGATCACCGGTTGCTGGGTACTTAATTATTCTAATTTATTCCACTACAGTCTGCTGATCAGTAAACATCCCAGTGCCTACGTGACATTCTGCATGTACACATTTGAGCAATTAAACTCTCTGAAAGAGTCGACTGACTCCACATATAAAAGTTAAAAATAAACAAAAATGAAACTCACAATTTTGTCACAGTATTTACATAATGAACAGGGTGTGAAATCAAACACATGCAAGGTCACTATTTAAACAGTTGTCATGGTGATGAATGGATTTTTCACCTTGGATTTGATGACTTGCCAACTTGACCCTTGTAAAAAAAATCATTGGAAATGTGTTCTTGTGGTGATTTTCTTCCTTTTAGATGATTTTATAGAAAAATTGCAATGTGTGAAAAGAATTTAAGCCTAAGACTAAATGCATTGTAGCCGCTTCATTCCACTCAGGCGTTGTTTCCTAAACTTTGCATTCCTGCTGCGCAGCCATGTAAAGGTTTGGAAACAACACCTTCATGGTATGAAAAGTTCAGCAATCAATGCATTGAGTCTTGGGCTTAAATCCTTTATTAGTTTAAGTTTAATGATAGTTTATTTCTGTGTCACAGGTTAACTAAAATATTACAAGTAAAATACATGTGTTAAAAAACCAACAGCCGACATCGACTTTTACGAGACACCATATAAATATACAAAGTTAATCAATAGAAAAATAAAGCATCGGTATGTCGAATAATATCACAGAGGATGTAAAGTAAGTTTGCAGAGTGTGAACAATTCACAGACAATATGACTAGAGTTAAATAACATACAATATAAACATGAGATTTCAAAATGCAATAAATGAGAATACAGTAATTATGACTTTGGTTGATAATATTGCACATATTTCATTTCACAAACGTTCCAGGTTAAATAAACGTTTTGAGAACATTTTGTAAAGAGTAGCAGCAAGGCAGCTTTGAATGTTCTTTGCATGTAGTAATGTGATCATAATTAAGGTTGGATTGGCACTTGAAGTATTTAAGTATTTATTCATCGACTCATCTTGGATGAAGGTATGACGTTTTCATACCTTTGTGATTGAAAATCAAACCGTGGAACGCAAGTGTACATCGACTAAGTAACATCGTTTATGTATGCCACCAACAAGGGGCTTTGGTAAAATGGGTGACTATTTATTCATGTATTGACCATCTGGTCTCCTTACACTCCTTACACTCCCCTCCAAAACTTTGGGAATCCTGACCTGACATGTATTAGATATATAGCCAAACTCTGCTTATTTTTGAAATGTAATTATTGTATTGATTACCAGCTGTTGTGTTTATAAGATGATCGTGATTTCTTAATCGCCTGATAACACAAATAGGTTTTTAAACACGTGGTCCTATAGTGTTTTTTCAAACTTTTGGAGGGGAGTGTACGTATATAAACTTAACATTAATGTAAGTGGTTATGTTTATATAGGGAATCAATGGCGTGTCGTTTGAGCTCCTTTAATTACAAATTCTATGTGTGCTAACGTGTATGTTAACACTGAGAAAGGTCGGAAAGTAGGCTGGTAGTTGAATCAATAGAATCGTCAAGACATTGTTTTGTACAAACTACATCGGCATACAGTAACAGAGATCACTAGCTATTGATTGTGCCTGGGAGTCCTGTGCAAGTCAGTCTACATATTCAGCACATTCATATATAGAACTGAGCGAGTCGGATCACACCATATACTTGTAGAGCTGCAGATACGAGGGAATCGCTGCAAAGTTGATAGGAAACGTGAGATTTGATTGATAAGATGGCTGCACCGATTGATCTCAGTGGAAAATGGAAAGTTGGCAAAAGCGAAAATCTCGACGCATTCTTAACCGCTCTCGGTAAGTCATAAAATTGTCGATGACCTGGTTTTGAAGAACCGGGCTATAATTGTATGTGTGTTCACTATAAACATGGACCGCTGTGTTATAAACTGTAAAGTTCAGAACAAGGCCAAGGCTATTTTGTTTTTCTACTGAAATAAGTAATCAACTGATCGCGGTACTAGTGCAGTTAATGTAATTACTAATAATTCATTCAGAGACAAGAATTATCATCGTGGTAAGCCACGCCCTCTCCATCTTTATCCTTCTGGAGAGCGTCTGCGATGCAACAGAGAGAGATGCTATGAGTATCAGAATGAATAATTATGGTTTTCTGTAAAGTCCATTTCACTTTTCCCTCCGTCTGTCAAATCAATAAATAGGCAATCAAAGATAAAACAGCTTTAATGATGATTTTCTTAGACAAAAATCAAAGTTTGCTACTATAAACTCGGAGAACATAAAAAATAATGCATCATGTACTTCAATAATTTCAACCTTGTTAATAGAATATGTTTGCAACAAGCTCTTAAAAGGGGGATTGCTTGATATTTCATTGCTAATGAAACAGAATACGTTTTACTCCATTTGATATGTATCATCCAACACCCTGGTGAAATTAACGTTGTTGATATGTTGTTGATGCATAATTTGTTGAAAGATTCGCCAGAAAGTGCCCTTGCGGTTATCTTTAAATGACAGACGACGAACACATCAGACAAATGTACTATGCTTGATATTTCATTGCTCATGAAACAGAATACGTTTTACTCCATATGATTTGTATCCTCCAACACAGTGGTTGAATTAACGTTGTTGATATGTTGTTGATGCATAATTTGTTGAAAGATTCGCCAGAAAGTGCCCTTAGGGGTTATCTTTTAAATGACAGACGACGAACACATCAGACAAATGTACTATGCTTGATATTTCATTGCTCATGAAACAGAATACGTTTGACTCCATTTGATATGTATCCTCCAACACCCTGATGAAATTAACGTTGTTGATATGTTGTTGATGCATGATTTGTCGAAAGATTCGCCAGAAAGTGCCCTTGGGGTTATCTTTTAAATGACAGACGACGAAAACATCAGATGAAATATTGTTATGTTTGTGATGAATTTAGGTTTTGCTGTACAATATTTTGTATCCTCCAAACATTAAGATTTCAGCCATGTACCAATACGATTTCAAATAATTACTTTGAGAAATGAAACTAATCAAATCTAGTATTTAAAATAAATGATTGTTATATAAATTCTCAATTATATCTAGTTTCTTATAGTAAATTGAATATGTTAAGCATGTGTGGGGGCTACTAATCATATGAACATAATAAAAAGTATTCCTTTTTTATGAGTAAGAACTATCAAACAATCCTCTTTTGAGAGCAGAATACCAGCATCAAAGCTATTTTCAAGAATTAATAAGCAATATTTTCAGTATAGATCGCATGGTCATGATAGCCACCAGTTATGTTGATATTAAAATAGCACCCATTAAATGTCGCTGATATTGACATACACTGTACATGACGCAGGCTTTAGGGGAATAATAGAATTTGAATATTTTTGAAAATATCAATTATCGTAAATTTGCCGAGACTCCTTTTTGCATGAATAACGTATAACACCACTAATAGGGGATAGAAGCATAGATTGTTGGTCTACACGGCCAACAGTACTGTACGTTACGGTTTTGGAAATGGTACTGTATTGTACCGTGAAATATGGTACCATACGGTACCGTAGACTAAAACGGTACCGTACCTGAACACTGTGCGGTACTATGCTCCAACGGTACCTTACGATACCATACTCTTAATGTACCGTACGGTACCGTGATTTTAGAGTGTGGATTGGGGGTGTAACTCGGTATTTATAGACAAGTTTCCAATTAATTCTGACCCTTTTTATTGGTGCACCAATTAAACTAGCGTACATCGTCTAGTTTTATAATGTCATATATTGCAATCTTTGTAAATAAACATAAGGAGGCTTTTTATAAATTGTGAATATCAACAATGAATAAACACAAGGAGCACACGCGTCTCGAACTCTCAACCTCGTGGTTACGGCTCCCAATCGCCCAGCTCGAACGTGCCGGCGCTCAAGCCCTCTTGGCTGTCATGGCTGTAACTGTACTATGATATCGTAATTCATCGGTGGCAGAATTTACTTGATCATATTTCCAGAATATTTACTAACCCTCAATCGATAATATAGATATGTTTGTGCACTCTTTGTCCAAAACTGAAAATTGTAGACCAGGAATGGAATGCCTTTCTTATTTTCCTGCAAATAACATAGTACTTCAATTAAGAAGCCATTGGCATTTCTCAACATACAGAGTTACCTTAATACCAATGCTTAATATCAATAGGCAACACTTAATATTCCAGGGGTAAATGTGGCAATGAGAAAGATCGCAACAAATGCTAGTATCACCCAGGAGATCACACAGGATGGAAACGACATGACAGTCGTCATGAAACTCCCTCTAAAGTAATCAATCCTTCAGTATCCAAATACTTCGTTCAGTGTGTTTATTCTTCCCCTCTGCACTCGTAATATATGTTCCGGGTTTTCAAAACATTATTAAATGATGGTACTTCTATCTCAGTGACGTTGTCTTTAAAAATTCATATTTGAGTTAATCACTTACTATTTGACAAGATTTTTAGTGATATGAAGCGATGAAAGTTGAAACATAGGTAATTTCCCCGGGATCTTCATTTATCTGCAGATGTAACGGTAGGCCAAACAATTAAACTGAACGAAGTGGACACTTTTAACATCATGTACTTTATGTTACCCGCTTTCTTCAACAGGGTGGTTCTTGGTGGTCTTTACTAATAATTCAAAAGATTTCAAATGTGAGAAGTAACGTTGTCGAGACAGTGGATTATATTATGTTGCCGATCAAAACCACCCTTGTATGTCTGTGACATAAAGATACTACAGTTTTTTTGTCACGGATCATGTCAGTATCTTTATTTTATAGAGTTCGAGACATATAAATTACATAAACTGTATCAATTTATATCTCTCTGCTTTCTCTTGGATCTAGACTATATTTACTGTAAAATGCAGTGCTGGGGGCGTAGTCAGGATTGCAAATAAGGCGGCGTTAACTAAAATTTTGAGACACAAGAATATAGTGCACTAACATTTCAGTCGAAAGAGGTCTAAATGAAATATTTTTCTAGAAATTATTTTCCTCGCCTTGTACATACCTAGCTACGCCAATGATAAAAAATATAGTCTATAATCACATAAATGGATCTTAGTCTTTATGTATATAGTGCATGCTCTGCAGTGTATATAGCCTGCTAGGCCCTTTGGGCTACTGTATTTCTCTAGTTCTTCATTCTAGTCGTGTTTCATATTTTGTAATACTAGATATGGCTCCTTAAATACATGTTGTTATTGTCTCCATATCTTCAGGCTTCGGATTTGCTAAAAGAAAAATAGCAAGTGCCGCTCCGTTAACAGTCGTTATCACACAAGATGGCGACAATGTAACAGTCTCGAACCAGTCACCGATAAAGTAGGTATGCAGTTATCAGATTATACCATTCTCCAAACGCAATGGGGTTCACTTTTTGATACCTTTGCGGACGACGAATTGATTTCTCCTTTGATTCTACATTGTCTCCTTTAAAAACGTTTTAATGTTTTCAAATACCATTCGTACATACTTTTAACATCCTGTGTAGGCCTATTCTATGTGTGTTTTATATTGTGGTGTTAAACTTTGCAATTATGTAGTATTTATAGACGTGCTTCTGTAACTTTGAGTGAATTCTGAGTTTGTCCTTTTATTTGGACACCAACTTTTGCTACACATGGCCCTTTTAACACCACACTAATTTTCACATCGAGTCAACACATCGGCAACGCATGCCCATGTGCTTCAAATATTTATCAATATACGATTTCTGGACAAGTCTGATGAAGTCTTATTTTAAAAACCCAAGTCAAAATGTATTAGCCAAACAAATCGTTTTCGATTATGTCACGAGAGAAACACGTTCTTCAAAATTTGTATTTATATTTATATGCAGCCACTTTCATTGGAAAAACTGCCATCGGATCTGTTTGATTTCCTGACTGCTCGTCTCTTCCCCTTCTTCCAAAATACTAAATTCATGTTCATTTTTTAGGACCAAGACTACTAAATTCACAGTTGGTTCCGGTGAGTTTGAGGACGAAACTCCAGACGGTAGAAAGATAATGGTACGTACATGTACATGTATCTCATTTTAGCATCGTGTAGACCCGAGTATTTGTTACGAATGCGAATGAGTCGGAGAGATCCCTCTCGTCCTACCAATGAGATTATTTTTACCATTTTGAGCTAAATGATTCAGTTTTCAAAAAGCTAACAAAGTTAAGATGATTCTTAATTTGAAAAGAATTCTGAAGATCCAAGTTGTCTGCATTGACATAATTCTGGACTGCCATTTTCAGGCTAATGCGTATTGGGAAGGTTCTAGTTTGGTCGTAGACGCCAAGCCTAAAGACGCCAAGGAGAAGGGCCTTAAGGTAGTGCGAACAATAGAAGGCGATGAGATGCACCAGGTACGAGAACACTGCCCTTTCCAAAAGTTTGGCATCCTAAGTCCCCACTGAATAACATGTTTATATTTGAAAGTATATTTAGTCCCTATTGCATAAGGGCGGATTTTGACATCTGGTCAAAAGAGGAAGGGAGTATTGCCAAACCTTTAGATTGGTGTGTATGTTAGATACTATATTTTAGATATGAATAATACAGTTAATAATACAGATCTTCGACTTGAAAAGTCTGCCTTATGATTTGTGAAATGTCTAAAATAACCCTTGGAATGAATAAGATTGTATATCAGGTCACCTTTCTAGTCTACCCAAGCAAAATGATATAACATCTATTATTTGACATTGTGGAAGTGAGAAGAGCATTAATCGTCTGATGGGAGATCAATATAATTTTTTTAAGGAAATCCATATTTTGAAGAATCCCGATCCAATCCACCTTTTACATGAATCCAATCCACTCGATCCAATCCACCTTTTAATCTTTACCTTATAAGCAGTACTAATAGATAAATCTATTATGCAATGTAAATTAATGTAATATCTTACTTTCAGGCAATGACATGCGACGGTGTGACCGCTATACGTCACTTCAGCAGATGTTAAAACAAGATTTAGCAGATGTTAGATGATACAATCCGATGTTAGAATTGTTTAGATGCCCCGATAGCAACATTTCAGAGTGTAGGCCAAAACGAATGGGATTTGACATTATTTTGTTCCACATCCTTTTAAAGAAACATATTCATTTATAATTCATTGATCTCTCAGTAACTTTTCATTAATACCTAGAACATTCACGTGCTTGTATTTTACTGTTTACGCGCTGCTTACATGTTTCTATCAACGAACAGTTTTGTGGCTCATTTGTGAAGTGTAAATTCCACGGAAATCAGGGTGACGTTTTATGTTTGTATACTGTATGATCTGATAAAAATAAAAATGATTACTTTTATTCTCTAAAGGTTATTTGATTTTCTTGAATATCTTCAGGTTCGCATGGGATGAAAACATTGGGTAGAGTATTTTCGTTGAATACAATAGGAAATACACTACGAAACCTGCCATCTTATTCAAAAATAGTTCAGTCTCGTTTTGTGAACATTTTTTAGACTTCCTTACTGTCCAATACGCTAATCCTTTTCCGAGTACATCGGGGAAACATTAAACGGTTACAAATCGACACCTCAAACTCCAGTTTCACAATAATATGAGTAAATCATGGATTTTCTTCAAAATCAAAATATTTCTTTGGTCAAACCGGAGTGAAAAAAATTATGGTCCCCCAGGGATTATGGTCCCCCTTCTTAACAGCCCTTACTGGCCCTGATTGTGTATAAAATAATAAGGGAAAGAGGTCATCATATAAATCAATGGAGAGTAGGACCATAATTTGATAGGACCTCCTACCCTTTTACACCGGCATTGTTGAAGAACTAGATGGATGGCTGTCAATTTATGACAACCGGATGCTCCCCCTCGGTGTGCTTGGAAAATGATGAGCGTATTACCGTGTAAGAAAACAATATAACGTTCACTACTATACCTACCTGTTTTTCGAACGAAAATACTCCACGCGTTTCGACCCTGTGTTTTTGCATCATACAATTCTCAATTTCGAAAATACATGGTCATTGTATATTCGGACAATGTCAATGTGAATTGCGATAAAGAATCTTGTATCATTCTTGATTGGATTTAAAAGCATTCGTGTATCAACCCATACTTCACTACCAGTACATTTTGAGACTAACATCACTAAGATGTCAGTTTCGTGTTATGTACAAATCAGCAGCATCCTGGGCGTGAAATAAGAGTAAACGTTCTTCTTTGATTAGCTTGTTGAGGCGTCTGTCATTTCAGTTATTTTTTAAAATTGATTTACTGACAGTAACAGTAATGGTATAACGCAACAAGCACTCTGATTGAGTGCTTATATTGATTCGTAAATACATGTGCTTGATCCGAGTAAGGATTATACAGGGTTTGCATATTGACAGCACATGGCAAATGTACATTTATTTATTTTTGAAGGTTTTTGACCGTTTTCCAAATGCTGAGGCATTTTCCCTTCCTCCATTCCCGGTATAAAGCCTTACATTTGAAGCTCTGGCCAGAGGTCCCAAAGTAATAAAAAAAGCGACTAAAAACCTTGTTGCCTACACATATCCACGGTGTATAACCCAAACGCTCCTACATGCACGACGGAGCGTTTCATTAACGCGGAAACGCTCCGGGGCGAAATAAAATGGCGGCTAATGAAGATTCCACTATGACCGTAAGTATTGTTTCTCTCGTTTCTCTTACATAACATATGTTATGGTGAAATATTATGTACCATTCGATGAACAATACCGTGAGCAAAGATCTTATTTATTCAACTTCTGGTGGTAAACTGTTATTTGCTTGATCAAAGATCCGTAGTGTAGATCGGACGAATCTGAAGATGACGATTTGACCACAAATTACGAATTAAACTAGTATTTCTATGAAAACGTTTAATCTTTCTGTTAAAGTAGTAGATCACAAACTCGTATATTCTCATTTCCTAAAATCCCAGTCCAAACGCCATTATATATATCTTTTATCGACTCTTTAGATGTCATATCATGACATATTAGTCACTTAGGTAGAGCAGTTCTTCCCATTGTCGAGTTGAAGAACTGGTATCTTTATCCTGGCTAGAACCATAGACAATTCTAGCCAGCGCCAGCCTTTTATCGAGTTAGCAGCACTCTAGTAATCGCCGGTATAGGTCAGCAGTCATAGGTCAAAGACAAATCACAAGAAGTGCTGTGACCTGGGTTTGTCCCCAAGACCTCTACTTTTCAGCTTGAAGCCAGACTTCCTGCTTTTCAGACCAATGCCTTAACCACTAGGCCAACCCGGCGACCACATTACTTGTTCTCGAAAAATCGCTTGTTTTCCTCAAAACGCTCCGTCGATTTAGAACACAATTTTAGAAACGCTCTTACCATTTTGTTTTGATATCATTTTCAGATTATTAGAGAAGAGTTCCGAATTGATTCTATCTCTCAAAAACGTGTTGTACTTGTTAGGCAAATTGAAACATCTGAACCTGGTGGTCCTAAACGTGCAACTAGCTGATTTAAGCCTACATTAGATGATGTCATGCCTACATGTGTGCTAAATCATAAAACTATAGAAAAAAACTAAGATTTATATGTGAATTAATCTTTCTTCTTTTGATGCCAAGGGGTATAATGGATCTTTTCTTTCTCTTCCTGAAAAGGAAAGGCAAGCTATATATTTCCTAAACTGATCTAGACTACCGGAGCGTTTCCAGTTCACTGTGTTAACCAGATCGGAGCGTTTCTTGAATATGAGAATGTCATCATTTTTCAGACTGGATTTTCGGTCATCAAATCACTATTACGATGATGTATGGTGCGTTGAAGCATTGGAATTTGACTAAAATATACGTTGGTTCTCTAATCTTGGCTCAACTAATCACATGTATCGACAAAAGGGGTTTTGACCGGTAGAATGACAAATACGTTTTTGAATTTTGATAACTATACTGCTTCGTACAGCTCTTCCTAATTGCTTCAAACGTCAACAGCCAGCCAAGTACAACATGAATATCACACCCATCGAATGGTATACTCGAAATATGGAACTCACACCTCTTATTCCCATTATTGGGGAAATCTTCAGACGGCTCATCATTCCCGCCAGCCAGTTTTCCTACTCCGGAGCGTTTCTTTGTTTAATTTCAGTAATGAAACGCTCCGTCGTGCATGTAGGAGCGTTTGGCTTATACACCGTGATATCCACCATTGCAGTATTAAACTTGCCTAGATCCACCTTTGCAGTATTAAACTTGCCTAAACTCCCCTTAACTACGAGGATTTGCATGAAAAGACAAATGTTTATAATCTGAGGACAGAGCATTATCTCGATACAATGCGACATCTATTAACCTTATCTATTTGTCAGACTTTCTCGACCATTTACTTGTGCAGTAAGCTTTGGGTGACATCTATTTTTCAATCGTTTTATGATGAAGGCAGCATCTTTAGCATAATTTGGCTATGTTGCGAAATCAGCTCTACTTTTGCATCGAGCCTCTGAACCCCCTTCCCAGTTCCCACCTCCCCTTCCAATCATATTCATCTTTAGTGGTGCAGGTGAGATGTATAAAGACACGAAAAGCGGATGAGTCAAGGGCTAAGAGCAAGACTAATTCATTTCTAACATTTGGGGATCCACAGTGTCTAGTCCCCCTTTGAATTTCTCAGCTTTAGATAAGACTCTGAGAATCAAAATGCTAAGGTGTTCTTAATGGTCATAAATATATTTCTACACAGTAGAGTTAAGGAAATGAGATGAGAGAGTAGCTTCGACTTCCCAGGTGGTTGAATCAACAGGAACCTTGTGAATCAAGATTACGAGAGAGGGGAAACGCTGAATAGTTTCTTATATATTCGTGTAACAGGCTGAATAGTTGCTAACGATGTTTTTCACAACGTAACCGTGAACGCAAAGTACAAAAATTAACAAAGGAATGTATCGAGCGCTCATAGTTTTATGCGCGCTTAGTCTACTTCAGATACTCTTACAGCTTCAGAGTTTCGGGTTTAGAACGGGAGATTTTGAAATTTGACGTTGGGTCAACGGGAACCATTTTACTCGTGTCTATTGAACACTATGCTGTCAATTTTGATTTCGATGCACAGTTGAATTCTTGCTGAACACGATGATGTATGTCATGCATGATTTAGGGCCAAAAATCTTACGAAACGAGCTCGTTTAAAATATGTATTAGAAAACCAGCTATAAAACCGCATCAATGACATACTATAGAATCATTACACGCTATGGTGTAGTCTAAACAAACACTGGATTTGAACGGCTATTTATATGAGAAGGCTACATGAATTTGTATATGGTCGAGTGATACGTACAGGTTCAGTTTCGATTATATATGCAAAGCTTAACCTCTCAAATAAGCTAGTAAGGCTACAAGACCTTGCACACACTTCTGTGTGAGAAAGTGTTTAGTCAAGAAGGGGGGGGGGGGGTCACTCACAGAGGCGTGTAGCTAGATTAGTAACAAGCGTATCTTTGATATTTGATGAAGTTAATGAGTTACATGTATATATTCAATCAGAATTTCCCACTGACACCATAAAATAACAATCAATTTTTCGTTTGTTTGCTTTTGATTATTTATTCTGCACTTTTAGGCAGATTCGTATCACATTTTAACAATAACACAACATAAACATACGTTAATATTATAAGTATAAATAAGTTGGTCCGTTACCTTGTCAATTTACAGATTGTGCGTTTATTCGCCAGACACATGTCATTACGTGTATAATTATAATGTCCGAGCAGTTCGTGCAGTGCAATCGTGCATTTTTGCCATGTAACGAACGCACTGCATGTAGTGCATCAGAAAATCATGTTTTGATGAAGTTGAAAACAAATAAAATGAAATATTGATTCTAAATAAAGATTACCGTATGACTGAAATTACCCTTTGAGGGTGTCACATTAGGTGGCTATTAGGTTCTATGTCCACTCATAAGCCTGTTGAGAGCCTTCCAAATCTCCCATATGAATTATACATAGCAAGACTAACTATGGCAAACGTTGCAATAATAAGCATCCGCTAATATACATATCTGGCTCATTGACAACCAAATATAGTCTTGCACCAACCCTCTACTTCGCCTCTGGAGTTAGGGGAGGGTGGCAGAGGATTGGCATGCAAGACTAATTATATACATACACGATTGTCTCAAATAAGTTGTTAACTATCATAGACTGTGAGATTACATTGAACAAAAAGTAGGCAAATATGTCACTATGTACAACAATTATGACAAAGTTCTATAATTATTTGGGAAATGCAACCAATAAAGAAATCTTGGAAAATTGTTGTACATTAACAAGTTACGGTCATAGATTACCAATTTTAGAGTTCTACTTTTA